AGCTTACGTGTCGACTCCTAACGGCTCCTCGCGTCTAGTCACCGCTTCTCGATTTCTTCTATATAATCTGTGCACTAAAACCATCAATTATCACACCATCATCTCAGAAAATCTTTCTTCTCGTTACAAAAAACAATATCAGCAGTAGTTTTCTTGAAAAGGTAAGAAAAACATGGCGCAATACGGCGGCGGCGGCGACTATGGGAGGCAGACCGATGAGTACGGCAACCCAATCCAGCGTGGTGGAGGCGGCGACTATGGGAGGCAGACCGATGAGTACGGCAACCCAATCCAGAGTGGTGGAATGGCCGGCCAGTACGGCGCCGGCACTGGCGAAGGAATCGGGACCGACCAGTACGGCGCCGTCGGGTCGGGTCATGGATCCGACCCTTATGGCGGCACCACCACAGGAACTGGCGTAGGGTATGGGACTCACGGAGGAGGGATTGCCACTGGGACGACAGCCGGGGGCGGCGGCATGGGCGGTCACCACCGCCGCTCTGGGAGCTCCAGCAGCTCGGTATATAATATATATACAACTAATTATATAATATTGTAGTTCTGTTCCGAAAACTGATGATGTTGCTGAAGGTGCTAGTTTTTTTTATTTTTTTTTTGTTCGGTTTAAAATTTATGGCAGTCTGAGGATGACGGGATGGGCGGGAGGAGGAAGAAAGGGATAAAGGAGAAGATAAAGGAGAAGTTGCCCGGCGGTCACAAGGAGGCGCAGACTGATCAGCCGACGGCAGCCCATGGCGGCATCCCTGGGGCCGGGGCTGGTGGTTATGGGTACGAAGAGCATCATGAGAAGAAGGGTATAATGGACAAGATCAAGGAGAAGATGCCAGGTGGCGGCCACCACTAGAATATACATAATCGTGTGTGGGTTGTATGATCTGTTGCGTGCATGCATATATAGTTGGTATGAATAAACACGCATAGTATGATTTGAGTGTACTGTAATAATTAATGTATCGGGCTTGTCCGAGGAGGCAAGTGTTTGTGTTAGGTTTTGGTTTGTGTTAATTTTGATTTTGGTTTCGTGTGTGTGGTTGTGTTGTGCGTTGGAGAAGAAGATATTACGCTTTGTACTGTTTGTCTTGATGTTTGTTTAATGCACATATGTCAAAGATATTACACTTTGTACGGTATTTGTGTAATGTTTGTTTAATGCACATATGGCATGTCAAAGGCTTTAGTTTGTTTTGGATGATCCTCTATTCCTCGCTTGTTCCGTTAGTTTTGGATAATCCTCTATTCCTCGCTTGTTTTTTTGTGAAATGCTTAAAATCATTTTGTCGGGATTTGTAATTGTTAGATTATCATGTGACTTTCGTGAAAAGTTGATCTGGGGGGTTTTTGACTGAATGGTTAATGGTAGAATCTCCTTGTGAATATCTATTACTAAAAAACTCAATTGCAAATTCCAACAAGATCAACAAAACATGAAGTCAAAGGAATAAAAACTAGTCGAGGAATAAAAACCTAAAAATCGTCAATAAAAAACACACAAGTAAAAAATTGACATTTTAATTTGCCTGGACTTTTTCTGAATCAGGAGACTTATCTTTTGTGATATGGCAGCTTCTGCCAGCTTATTGCTTTCTTTCTCATTTTTGGTTTAGTTTTTCGTTTAATATTTCAGATATTAAGACTTGCATTTTGTGACTTTTTAGCTCATTTAAGTAATATTTAAGGCATTTTACATATGCAGGTTGGGGGTTAAGTCTAAACCCCTACCCTCTCCTGGATGTTTGCTTTAGAAAAAAATAATTCCAAAAGTTATTCTTAAAAAAAACTATATAAACTCATGCATCGGTTAATTTTTTTTTTTTTTTTTTTTTTTNTTTTGAGAAAATCACTTTTAGATTTAGAATTGCCACCCAATAATTTTTTTTATTGTCAGCAGAAGTTAAATTCTAACCATTACTTGATCAAAGTAAACAGTGAAGGAAGAAATATGAACAAAAAAGAAGATGAAGAAGAACGAAACATAAAAGGAACAAATCGGAACTCGGAAGAGACAAAATGAAGAAGAAAAAAAGAGAGAATGAAAAGTTGAGCGTAAATGTGAACTAATCAGCTAGCCTAACTCTTTCTTTCTCCCCGAAAGCCAAAAACCTCAAATCCTCTTTGCCCTAAATCGGTGATTTTCCTGCCTTCTCCGGCGGGACGCCAGCCATTTCAACGGTAGATGGCATTCGGCTGCACGACTCTCTCTCGGGGTTATCGATTTCTGTTCGCTTGAGCTGGAGGTGGGCGACGGACTAAGAGGTATCGGCATCCTTCCCGGCCACCTTTTCGTGCTGGTGGTCCATCAATTTCTCGGGTGGTGTGGAGGTCGACGATGCTTCTGTTGGGATGGGTGGTGGCTCCGACGGCCGGATTGCTGTGGTTGGTCGGTCAGAGTAGAGGTAATTTGATCCTTTCCTCTCTTTTCCTCTGGCCTCCGGTGCGTGAGTCGAAGGTGCTGCTGGTGCGTCGAGTTGTGGTCCGTGGTGTGGGCAGAGCTCGGAGCAATGGTGCTGTGTTGGGGTATGTTTTGGTTTCCTCCGGTTGAGGTGGGGTCGGCTACTCGGGTTCAGGGGCGAGTTTCGAGGGCCTAATTCAAGTTAGGTGCGAAAGTTTCAGTTTCTGGGGTTGGAGTCTTGGGCGAGTTCCTGTCCGTGTGGGTAGTCGGTCATTGATATTACTGTCGTGATTGCTTGGCGTGTTCCCGGCCGTGAGAAGGGCTTTACCGTATTTCTTTGTGTCGTCTTATTTGTTTGTGTTTGTAGTTTTGTTGTGTTTTTATTGTGTTTCCTTTGTCTTGTTTGTGTCTGTGTTTTGTTTTCTTCTCTTTTGGATTAACGTGTTATTCTCCCGTGGGGAGTTAGTGTTATTCTCTTTTGAGGAGTTAGTGTCATTCTCCTGTGGGGAACTTTTATTTTTCTTTTCGTGATGTAGTGTGTGTTGTGGCTTCTAGGCTGGCCTCCATGTGCAACTCTTATTCCGGTTGTCCACCGACTGTAATTATGTGTTGTTTAGTTTAATGAATCTATCATTTCGAAAAAAAAAAAAAAA